GCGCCTGCGATACAAATATCAAAACATTGCTAACACTTTTTCAAATCAACTCAAAGATACCACACCAGCGCAACATACAATGTTGGAGAGTCGATGATACAAAAGAAAAAGAAATAATGGTTTAAAAGGAGAGAATATCAAAAACATTTACAAAGAAAAACATTTGGGGCATGTACAAACATTTGGGGCATATACAAAAATGTGGTGCATATACAAACATTTAGCGCATATACAGAAAAGTTCAGTGCATATACATTTTGACTTCATGTCAATTTAGGACATTACTGCGTATACATCATGCATGGCATTTTTCAAATCTATTTTGGTTAAACTACAAACTTTTTTTGGGGCCCATTATTGAATTATCTTGTCTGCAAAATGAACAAAAATCTTGGTTAAGAAAAGACACAACCGGTAAATTCTGATCTTATCTTTGGTTTAGTTATCTAAGATTCAATTATCAAAGAACTTTTCAGAAACCTAACTCGTATTGTCTATCCTCTAGGTCGTGGTAGGTATGCGAATTATTAGGGTTATATTATTCATCCTCTAGGTCGTGATGAATATATAAGCCTATCCTCGTGTCATTTATCCTCTAGGTCGAGATAAATGCACAAATTTATCTTCGTATTATATATCCTCTAGGTTGTGGTACGTATGTGAATTATTAGGGTTATGTTATTTATCCTTTAGGTCGTGATAAATAAGTAAGCCTACCCCCTTATCATTTATCCTCTAGGTCATGATAAATGCACAAGTTCATCCTCATATTATCTATCCTCTAGGTTGTGGTAGATATGTGATTTATCGGGTTTATGTTATTCATCCTATACGTCGTGATGAATACATAAATTTATCCTTGTGTTATTTATCCTCTAGGTCGTGATAAATTCATAAGTTCATCCTCGTATTATTTATCCTCTAGGTTGTGGTAGGTATGCGATTTATCGGGTTTATGTTATTCATCCTCTAGGTCGTGATGAATACATAAATATATCCTCATGTTATTTATCCTCTAGTTCGTGATAAATTCACAAGTGTATCCTTGTTTTATCTATTTTCTAGGTTTTGGTAGGTATGTGAATCGTCAAGTTATGTTATTTATCCTCTAGGTCGTGATAAATACATAAGTCTATCCTCGTATTGTTTACTCTCTAGGTTGTATTAAACATACGAAATCTACAGTATGATTCATTGTGTTAGTCTCCATGAGACAATGAATCATCAAGATCTGTTTTATTCATCCCCTAGGCTGTGACGAATAGATAAAATACGCGTTATAAGCTTATTATGTTAGCCTCAAAGCATTAGTAAGTCAATTTCACACTTTTATTATTTACCTCCTAGGGTATGGTAAATACGCGAAAAACTTAGGATCTCTTTTAGGTATTGACGAGTTATCCGCGTCGTTTAAAAACTTTTTGTTCAAACTCTAGTAAGATGATATATCATCATTTGTGCCTAATTTTTGTACTCGTGGGATTGTTGTACAATGTATCCTTATAATCTTTTGGTCAAATTTTAGGGTCTTCCATTATTTAATAAATCTCGGATTCGAATGTGCGAGACCTGTGTATTCTTGCACCCTTTAATTGAAGGGTAATTAAATACGGGAAGTCGTCATACCTCAAATTTTCCCCATTCAAATTAAATGATCATATTGGCAAATTAGTACACTTTCTAATTTACCGATCAATAACACACCCTTTGATTAGAATAACAAGAGTGGATCTTGTTGAGTACAACAGACTTGAGGGGTGCTAATACCTTCCCCATGCATAATCGACTTTTGTACCCTTCTCTTAGTCGCAAGACCATGTTATTTCCCTTATTAGAGGTTTTCTTGATATTTTCCTTTCTCTATTTGGGATAAATAAAGTTCAATGGTGACTTCATCGTTTTAGTTTTTTTAGAGGCGCTTTAGTTGGCGACTTCACTGGGGTTACCTAAGCAAGTCATTCCTAGCTCTTGTTTGTTTACTTTTCTTTGGGTATTTATCTATATGTTTTACTTGTTGTTTATTCGTTGCATTCATTGAATTTTACTATTTTCCATTTTCTTGATATTGTTGTTGTGCTGTCTTTGTTGGGATTTTGAGTGATAACCCAAATACCCAGGCTTGATTTTTACCACAAAATTAGAGTGGGTAGTCGTGTCGCCTAGGGTGTGGATGCCCTACTAGTGCGTCACAAGAACCACACCAGAATAGGTCCATTTTGGGGTACTGTTGTTATGGTACTGAACTTTTAAATTAGATTGCAACTCTGGGAGACCTTTAGGAACCTCTTTCAAGACAAGAACCCACCTTTGAGAGAGGGATATGGTTTTTTTTTGCAGGAAACATTGACCTTCATCCTACCCTTGTAATCTTGTATTTTAAAGAGGACATGTTGAACTTTTGAACCTATAACATTCAACCCTGTTAAGAGATCGGTGCATACATAACATTATCATGTTTAACATACATTTTCTTTCCATCTCCACAGATTCATGTCTTTGAGATTTGTACTGAGCTTACCTTTTAGAAATGGACATTGGTAGAAAAAGCATTCTTCTTTCAAATTTCATTCATAGCACATAGATTCCTTGGAAAAGATTGAACATGACATTGCATCCATTCACGCACTCATGCATACATGCATTTATAACAGGTGTTAAGATCAGGGGTTTTTACTCAAACTTGGTTTTCTCCACATACTTGTAAACCTGACTTCTCAGCACTATGCAACTCGCCGCAATCAAAGGCTAGCTATGGAACAACTTCGGGAATAAATGACAGAGATGATGAGGGCCCAGATAGGTTATTTTATGGAGATTATTCAAAACATTACTCGGGGAAAAGAAGAGCTGAGGGTGGTTGTTCAGAGGCCCGCTATGGTTGAGAACCCTGGCCAAGCTTCTGGCGTTGTTCCTCCTGTTTGAGTGGTGCCTCCTATTGGTTTTGTGCCTCCCCCTGGTGCTATTTTTATGGGTGTTGTGCTTCCTGTGTGTAACCAATAAAATATTATTGATCCCCCTCGACCTCCTCAACCCACTCTAGAAGAGTTGCAAGCGCAACAAGGTAGAAGAGTTGTTGCTCCACATCTGGTGGATGATCAGGAAGATGTGTTTTTAATGCATGATGATGGTATGGGGTTACCTGCTGACATAGAGAGGAAGTTTCAGCTCCTTGAAGAAAGATTGAAGGAAATGAGGGTCATAGTGCCTTTGGAATAGATGTTGTTGATAGGTATTATAATTCCTGCTAAGTTTAAAGCTCTAGACTTTGAGAAGTATGAAGGGACGACGTGTCCTAAAATGCAGGTGTAGCGGTGAAAATCGGAGATCAAGCTATTAATTAACTTGACTCGCAAAAGCAAGAGTCGCCACCGCGCTTTATTATTTCCAAGGGAAAAGGGAAAAGAGCGAAATAAAACCCTAAAATATGCAATGTAAAATAATACTTGAAAGTAATAAAAAAATACAATGCGTTTTTTGAAAGAGATCGAGAGTTCGGGGGTTGGTTATACAATGGGAAGGTATTAGCACCCAATGCATCTGCGGTACTCCGCAGGAACCTTTTGAAATATCTGTTTTTGGTTAAAATTGTTTGTTTGATTAAAATGGTTCGTTTGGCTGAAAATAGGCGTGGACGAGATTTTTGAAGATTCGACGACCTAGTGTCGAAGTTTTGACTTAAAAGGAGTGAGTTTGAAAGTGGAGTCTTTTGGGAAAATTGTCTTAAGTTTGGAAAAAATAGTAAGCAAGCAACACATGAATGAGGCTATTCGCGCGATTGTAGAAGATGTATTTGATGACGTGAAGTCAACAAAGTTAAAATATTTCCCTTGGAGTAGAAGCAAACAAATCAGAAAAAATAAGACGAACATCACAATATAAGTAATCAAGAATTCGCAAGAAGATAAATTTAAACGAACTGATTAAAAAAACAATGAAATATTTAATTCTAAAACAAACGAGAAGGTAACTAGTTATCTAAAGAGGATATGTAAATTGCTAAGTTAATTCTAAACAAAAAAAGTAAGATTGTGAAATTTCTGAATTACACCTAAATTGCATTAAAGCTCTACGAAAAATTCTAAAATTACTAAATTTAATCTAAGTTGAATTAATTCTAAAGTTACTAAACCGTGTATAATATAAACTAAGTTGATTTTAAAGTTACTAAATTAAAATTCTAATTATTAAATTGAATCTAAACTAAATCAAAGTTTTAACCAAATTCCTTATAAAATTACTAATTAAAATCTACACTAAATTAACAATAAAAGGGGTGTGTAACACAAATTTGAGGGGGCTTATGATATGAAAACCGGATGGGCTTAAGAGATTGGGATAAGGCCCAAGGCAGGAGTAATAAACATAAATGAATATATAAAAAAAAACTGAAACAAACAAGCTAGGTTAGAACCGGGCCGAACCGGGTCAGGCCCAGACCCGTTGCCTTGTGATACGCGAGGTGGGTCAGAAAAAGAAAAGAAAGACCCTAATTGAAAAGTGGAAAACGGCGCTATGATGTGTTAGGAAGAGAACGAAAAATCGTCGATGCCGGTAACCTCTTGTCTTCTAAAGCTGCCGATCTCGTTCCTCCTCTCGCGGTTCCTTCGATCTCCTCAACCTTGCGCCGCCAGCGATCATCAACTTGGTAAAACTGCAGAACAGCAATGAGGGAAAAGGGAATAGCTGTGAAGAGAAGGACGTACCTAGGACAAGCTTCGCCGGAATTTGTATCGGCCCCGCCGCGAGGTAAGATCCTTTGTCATCTTCTTCTCACTTTCTTGATACCGATGCATAGCTTGGAGATTCCTGAGTCGTTCCCCTATGATGGTGAAGCGGGATTCATGGCCAGAACACAGAGTTCATCAGCGGTGGAGCTTTGGTCGCGATGCTGTTGCGTGGTGGATTTGAGGCCGGTCTTGTGGGTAATGGGTATGATGGAATGATAATGGATAATGAACCGATATGGGTTGTTAATGATTGCAGCTGAAGAGACAACATTATTATCGTCTGGGGACAAAGTTGGTAGCGAAAGCCCATGCGTTGTTTGCGACAGGGTCAGCAACATGGTCATACAAGTTCTGAATATGGCCTTTGCCAGTAACAATGGCTTGAACAAAGAAACCAAACTTGGAGAATATAGCCAATCGACCGTTCTTGAGTTCCTTGACCTTCAACTCAGCAAATGAATCAGGTTTGGGTTTCCCAAATAGTCAAGGCCACCCTCAGCAAAGATCTGGGAACCGGCTTTGAACCACACTGCCTCGCTGAATTTAACACCATTCTTTTCAAGGAGTTCAGGGAAGGTACATCCCAACGCACCAAGCATAGCCCATCTGCTGTGAATTACTTCAAGCTCACGGTTCCTTGCAAATGTTTCAGGGTCAGCTGATAATCCAGCTGTGTCTCATCCATAATCACCAGGAAACTCACCAGTAAGGTATGATGGAATTTGTTCAGAGAATGGACCCAAGTACTTGGGACGGTCAGGACCATACCAAATGCTTTCAGGAGCACTCTTCACGGTACGACGCGTGGTGAAGCGACTTTGGCCAAGGTTACCAACTTTCCTGATGAATTCATTTCCCTGCCTCAAATCAGTCTTACCAGTGAATGCTGATTGTTGGATAGCAGAGGTGGCCATGAGGGCGTTGAGACTTCTTGCACTTTGATGTTGTTCCCTTTGATGCTAGTGTTGTTGTGTTTGTGTGAAAAGAGGAGACAGTGGAATAAAGGAAGAGTATGTAGGTTTTGTGTTTATGCAGTGGATTCCGAAAAGGTGTGTTTTGTTGAGGGTGATGGAACATTGCTGTTGAATTTTGGTGCATCAAGATATTGTATTAGGTTCCTTAAACAAGCAGATGGCATAAGTCTGGTAAGCATAGTATAGACTTTTAAAGCAATATGGGCAAGGCATAAAGATTGGAAGAATGGGAGGAAAAGTCATGAGTATGTGTGGAAGGGTTACGGAGGCGGAGGGAATTGGAATAACGTTGGCATGTTAAAGGGAGATGGAGTATGCTGGTTTATGTGAAGAGGGTTTGTTTTTTTGGTGGCTACTGTGCGTTGGAAGCAATAAAGGGAGTTTTGTGTTTGAGTTATGAGAGAGGTTAGTTTGTAGTTTTTTTGTTTTACAGCAGGTGGTCCTCTTAAGTTTTTGTTCTAAACTTCCAGGTTTATTAGAAATTTTTCACAGTTTTTACTTTGTTTTTCCCCCCTTCAGCATGAAATCTTTTGGAGGGAAAATGTGTGGGTCTTGGACAAATTGATATGCTGATTTTTCCCTTTCTGATGCAGGATTTGCATCCTCTATTTTTGTGAAATTTTATACTGCTTTTGGACAGGTTTTTGGCATTATTTGTGCAGAATTTTGACTTATTTTTGGACAGGTTTGACAGGATTTGGAGCAGCATTGCAGTAGCATGTTTTTGGCAAGTTGTGGGCAGCACACAGCATGGATTATTTTGAAGCATGATTTGGACTGATATGCAGAGTTTTAATGTGGAATTTGAAGATTAGAAAGAAGAAAACCTTAGGGATTTCTATGTATCTTCATGATTGTTTTGTAACATGGTGATGAACCATAGTATCTTGATGAAACTTGTATGCTAAGATGACATTCATTCTTGACTTTTGAACTTGAATGAGTTTGTAATAATTCTTGCTGAACAATGATATGTCCATAAAAACTCTTGAATAAATGTCGACTTGCGAAGTGCATTACGAATCTTGAATTAATACAAAGCATCATTTTTGAAAAGAACCTTGAAATAATCTTGCACAATTTGGATTTGAATATGATTAAATGAGACTTGAATTGAAATTGAGCTTTGGATAAAGTCTGGACTTGAAATAATTATTGAATAACATAGTCAAATAAGACTTGAATGTCTTTCATAAACTCTTGAATTTAGAATTGAATGAACTTGGATTCCTTGAATGGTCTTTTTTACTTTGAAATGCATTCCAAATAAAACACCTAAACCTTTTACCATGAACCGAATCTTGATGAACAAACAAAGAAACTTGATCTAAATCCAATTTTAATTCATTAATTACTAATGCTCGAATACAAGCAACTTGTATTATAGCAATATATAATCAATGAATCCTCAAACTCAACATCTTGTCTTTACCCTTGACTCAGTGGAAAACAACCTCAATACAAAAATCAATTTTAAGCCTAAAATGTTCAAGCTAAATTCATGGCCCTCCAAACGCATTCGGATGTCGATCCTTGAAGCAATCTTGTAGACGACATCATTTGTGACATGTTGCAAAAAGAACCATCCCGAAATGATGAAAATCGAAATAGTTACGATCCTTGAAAGTCGAGTAATTGTTACTTGAGATTAGGCCACAGTCATCAAAGTGACCTCTGAGTATCCGAACTTTTGATGATCTTCCGCACCTAATCAGACCTTGACTGGTAAAGAGGGGTTAGAGATGACGTCAAAGAAAATTGTACGCAAAAGTAACCATTCAAAAAAATGTTGAATAATGAAAAGTTACGATCGTTTGAACTTGAATGTGCAAGCGTTGACTTTTGGACAAAGTGCTTTGAATTGACTCGCAAACTTGATCTTTCTTTGCATTCCAAAGCATCTTGATGCACATGTGAACCAGTGATGATGAAATCTTGTCTGTGCTCTAAGAGAGTTGTAGAGAAGCTCGAGACCACTTGTCGAACAAGGCGCGGAAATAAACGCACGATTCTCCTGATGAATCAGTCTTCACGAACCAACGATTAACTGTACTTCTGGCTTGAGAGATTCTGAACCCTAATTGAGGCGTGACGCCTGATGCTCTTGATTCAGATCTGTTTCCTGCAAATGAAAACAAAGGAACGAGAAATACACATGCTGGAGTAGAAGTTAATGATACATAGGCTGAGAATGTTTAAAATACTTGACAAATTCTGCATAGCCAGTGCTCGAAGGTGAGAGGTTAAAACCGACTATAATTAGCGACCTTGACTTTTGTATAAAAAATGCAAAAATGCAAGTGGGATCTTAGGTCAAAAATTGGGGTACAACAGCTGCCCCTATTTAAGTTTCTTCTATCTGGAGATATGAAGATTGGGATCTTCATTTCGACGAGATTGAAGGGACTTAAATATAGAATACACAATTTTTGGCCTTAAGATACCGCGATTATGTTTACAATATGATATGAATGTGATGTTTTGAATTTTATGGGGAATGACGCCATATGAGACAGACTATGCTGGAGAAACCAAGCACATTATACAGTAATCCCACAGAGGAAGAGGTTGTAACTCCATTGGGGAAACAAAGTCATAGACTTCAAATGAGAGACTCTTGAATGATTTACATCAGTGTTGAGACTGGAAAAGAGATGATTTACATTAGTACGAAGACTGGAAAAAGAAATGATTTACATCAGCACCGTGACTGGAAAAGGAAATGATGGACATCAGTACTGAGACTGGAAAATGATTGACATCAGCACCGTGGCTGGAAAACAAAATGATTGACATCAGCACTGTGACTGGAAAAGGAAATGATGGACATCAGTACTGAGACTGGAAAATGATTGACATCAGCACTGTGGCTGGAAAAAAAATGATTGACATCAGCACGGTGGCTGGAGATAAACATCTCTGATTTCTGAATTTTACCAAGAACGGTAACACATTTCCTCTTTAACCAAGATATCACTTGAAAAGGATAATATAACAAACTTCCCCACGGGACTTTTCCGAAGGGATGCCATTTGCTGAGTAAACATTATTGTTGGGGATACACAAGCTGCTCAAATAAAGAGGCCGCCACTTGCTTCCTTTCAAATGTGTCAATAACATACAAGTTGCTCATGAAGAGACCGCCGCTTGTTGTTTTCAAAGGTGACAATAACATACGAGTTGCTCATGAAGAGGCTGCCGCTTGCTGTTTTCTCTAAGGTATCAATAACATACAAGTTGCTCATGAAGAGACCGCCGCTTGCTGTTTTTAAAAATGTTGATAACATACAAGTTGTCCATGGAGAGACTGCCGCTTGCTGTTTTTAAAGAGAAAAATAACACACAAGTTGCTCATGAAGAGACCGCCGCTTGTCGTTTTTTTCCAAAAATAATAATAACGCGCAAGTTGCTCATGAAGAGACCGCCGCTTGTCGTTTTCCAACGATGTCTATAACGTACAAGTTGCTCATGAAGAGACCGCCGCTTGTCGTTTGCTGTTTGTCAAGAGTATCCATAACACACAAGTTGTCTCATGAAGAAACTGCCGCTTGCTGTTTGTCAAGAGTATCAATAACACACAAGTTGTCTCATGAAGAAACTGCCGCTTGTTGCTTTCTTTTCAAAATTACCAATAACACACAAGTTGTCTCATGAAGAAACTGCCGCTTGTTGCTTTCTTTTCAAAATTACCAATAACACACAAGTTGTCTCATGAAGAAACTGCCGCTTGTTGTCTTTCTTTTCAAAATTACCAATAACACACAAGTTGTCTCATGAAGAAACTGCCGCTTGTTGCTTTCTTTTCAAAATTACCAATAACACACAAGTTGTCTCATGAAGAAACTGCCGCTTGTTGTCTTTTCAAGGTATCAATAACACACAAGTTGTCTCATGAAGAGACTGCCGCTTGCTATTTCTCAAAAAGATACCCATAAAATATCATGAAGATATTGCTGGAGGTGAGAATCAATAATTTCATCGAGGATGGACAAACTGCTCATGAAGAGACCGCCATTTGTCGTAGAGAAATCAGAAATAATCAAACTGCTTAAACAAAGAGTCAGTCACTTATTGTCATGTCGATATTCAAGAAGAAGATTGTGATAACACTGCTGGGGAATAAAGTTCATCTTTAATGGGGAACCATGAATAAATCCTTCCTGAGAAGATCAAGTATTTGAATTGCAAAATAAATGCACTCTCCATCTAGGTTTCACATCCTAGAGAGATCCACAGGGTATCGTTCACAAGAGACAAAGCTCAATCCAGGAATAAACTGGGGAGAAAACAGTCAAACAAGACTCCACCCAAGGAGGAAACAAACTCAAATGGGGATTTATCCTATCCAGAGATGGAAAAGGAAAGCTAAACCAAGATTCTTCCACGAGAGTTAACTCAGTGGGGAATTAGAAAAGAGGCGCACTTTCTGCTTAAGTTGACATTCTATTTGGAAAGATCAAATATGCTATTTGAATAGACATAACCAAGGTATACGAACTCAAAGATATCAACAAATACAAATGTGCGTGCATGATGCAAGTATGAACGAACGAATGAATATCATGTATATGTTGACAAAACAGACAGGATAAACTGGAGATGATAAGACATCATAGCACAACCCAACACTCGACTAATCTCAACAGGATGGTAACATTATTGGAGATAGAAAACAAAAGCCATCATTGGAGCAAAGTCCTTTTACAAGGCTTAAATCTCTTTGGAGAGGGAGATATTTTCAGGTAGAAAACCCAAAGTTCAGTCTTCGATCACTAACAATCCCTTGAAAGGATGACAACACGAACAAAGTTTTAGCTGGAAAAAGCCATGCTTAGCTAGAGATACTGGGAACACCACCCTCTGATAATGTGTGCAAAACATATCTTGACAAATCTGGATTGCCCCTGGGACTAATTTTGGATGCCCCAAGTTTACTGCTG